GCTGTTTTAGCCTTATTCAAGCCTGATCCAGACTCCTACCCACAGTGTGCCTTCCTCTCAAATCCTTTCTTCTGGGTACCTAAAACCTGATTCTGAGATAAAAACCTATCCTTCATCCTCTGCTATCTTCCATTGCTCCAATCTTTTGCTCTCTCTTTCGAGCCTGACTGGAAAAACCCCAGCTCTAGATCAGTGAACTTCTTGTTCCCTGTAGATCAGGGTAGCTAAAAACTCATGGTCTCAGCTAATTCAAACCTCTTCGGCTCAACTCAAATACCTTAACCTATAATCATTTCCTTAACACCAGGCAGGACACATCTTCCAGTTTGCTGGCAGAGTAAGGCAGTGCAGCGTAACTCCCTCACCCTCTCTTGTCCCATATTAATCACTCTTTCTTCAAGTTCTTCACATCAAAAGGAATATCCCTCCCCTTGAGGCCAATTCCTCCAACCTGATGTCTGGAAGAGAAGACTTTTGGAAGTAAGGAGATACAGTAGCACAAGACAGAGGTAACGAGGGCCAGAACTAAACTGTGGCTTTGGGAATATTGATATGTTCCGTCCACTTCCCCCACCCCGAATTTTTGGAGAATAGCTAACCAGGACTATACAGGCATACCTCAGAGATACTGCAGGTTCAGTTCCAGACTACTTGTTTTATTGCGAACATCACAATAAAACAAGTCATAACCTTTTTGCTGGTGGAAGGTCTTGCCTTCAGTTTGTAAAAAACGCAACACCTGTGAAGCACAATAAAGCGAAGCACAATACAATGAGGTACACCTGTAATCATGCAGAACCACTAGTGCAGGTGTACATCCTTGAGTAACTAGGCTTAGAGAGGAAAGGAACTTTATAGCAAACTTTTACCCTGTGGGAAAAGATGGTTGAGAAGAGGTAGAAAGAAGAAAATAGTGTAGATCAGTGATTTAACAGTTATGGATCAATTTAACAGTGACCCTTAAAATGTATGCAGGGCGACCTCATAGGATGTGAGGAAAAAGATGAGATGTCTATTTACATTTCATCTAAAAGGAGGAAGAGGAAATTAACCTTCACAAACATTTACTAAAGACTGACACGGGTGCCTGTCTTCCGGTGACATCATAGAGTCCTCTCATGGTTAGTATCTAAGGTGACCTGAGAACAGAGTGGAAGTCTCAATAGCTCCCAAACTTATAGCTTGATTTTAGCATGTGCAGTAGACTGCAGTTTATATCAAGCTGGATAAATTTATATATTTTATCTGTTATTGATGAAATAATCTTTACAAAGTGTGACCTATATGAATCCCTGCAAAAACAAACAAACCCCATGGATTTAAGACACTTACAATGCAAGAAACAAACAAGAAAATAGCAGAGATGACACTTTTAGAACAAGCCCTTCATAGTGAGTTAAACCAGGATCTCAGCATACTGGACAAGAATTTGGCCAAAAAACTTGTCAAGACTATTTGCAATATGTATGTGCACCAACATTAAATGTTGTTAAAGATAAATCTCACTCTAATGTATTGACCTTGAGAAATTAGCTAATGATAAAATACATACAAATAATATCTCAAATTAATATGCATTCAATGAAAGTGCTTGCTCAAAAAACAGTGATGGAAATATGCCACCAAAAATGTCCGGAGATCACTGGCATAGAAGGCAGATTCTAAGGCTGTGAGAACTAAATTTCCTAGTCTTTGCCCTGGAGTAAAAGTAGCTGTCCTTAGAATTAGTAACATTCTAAAAGAATGTTTTGTTTTTGAGAATAACTTTTGAAAACTTCTTAATTTCTATTAAATTCTCATCTCCTACACTCTTTAACTTCTAATAATGGAGTACAATAAAAGTGTGGGTAAACTAATATAAATTCCTTTGAACACATTTTGCTTTGCATATATTCTTAATTTAGCTCACTGGAAGCAGAGCAAGGAAAAAGAACTTCCATTTTTTGTTGCTCTTCATCCTCACTAGATAGCAACATCTCCACAGACACCAGAATTATATAAAATCAACCTAAGTTGTACAATTTGGTAGGTTAAGACAGATATTGTAAAATACTGTAAAAAAAATGAACTATTTCTTGCACAAACATCTCACTCATGACTATTCACTTTCAAGTAGATTTTGATAACCATCAAGTCAATCTCTGACATGACTCAAGGGAACTTAGTAACTAAAGTACTGAAAGACAAAATTAAAGTGTCCTTGCCTCCTCTGTGGGATTCCAAAGGTAAGTCAACAGCCAAGTGGCAATGTCATCAGACACATACAATAGCTTGGGCACTTGCAAATGTACTGTTGGGTGTGGTACCAGACCTCCCAATAGACAATCGAGCACATGCTTTTCAAAGCACCTTGTCAAAAAGGAGTAAATAACTACACCTCATCATACCTTCCCTTGTTACAAATATTTATAGCAAGTTTTAAAATGACTCCCCACCCTCCCCCCCCCCAAAAAAAAAGGAAACAAGATCCTTTCCCAGACTCTCTTCCTTCTCATTTTTACAGGTCAATCTCCTGCAGTCAACAGGGTACTTTCTGAGCCCTTCCGCCCATATTTGCCATAAAAAGGAACCAGATCTGAGATTTAGCCAGGCCTATCTACTTCTGCACTGATATCAAAAGAGGATACTCTATTATTTCAAAAGGAGGTAGCAGTACATGAGAAGCAGTAGTTTTGATTTGTAAGACAAAAACGTCTACTCTAGATTCAGCTTCCCTAATGATTAAAAACTGCTAAATTGATTAAACAAGGAGACATTAGACGGAGGTGGCTCTAATGCTGTGGCAGGCTGGGTAAGCATACCAAAATCTAAGCCCGTACATGCCACAATGTTATGAAATCTAAAAGGTTAAGGACAACCAAGCACAAGCAGCCAACTAGGCTTTAAGCTATAATCAATCGATTATTTCCTTCCTTGGTGTTAGCCTCCTTTGAAAAAGCCTTTTCCCAGCTCTCATTGGTAGAACGCTCCTAACCACTTCTAGTTTGGCGCTGCCCAATTCGAATCGAATTTTGCTCAGATAAACTTTTAAAAATTTTAATATACTTCAGTTTATCTTTTGACAGTTCTGGTGTCAGAAGAGGGAACCAAAGGAGACCCTTGACTGCCCCCAAGAGCGACGAGCAACCAACCAGACAAACTTACCTGCTGAGCCACTGGAGCTTCCGCTTTCTCACCGCCTCTGGAGGAGGTGATTAAGTCCCTCTCAGATCCTAGCTCCGCAGCTTTTGCATTATGTGTTTTCAGAATTAATCTGAGCATTTCTTTTTCCGGTCCGGGTCCGGAAACCAGCTGTAGTCGGACTAGATCCGTCCCTGGACCCAGTCCGACTTAGAAACCGGTCTGCGGCCAGTGTGAGATCTCAGGTGAATAAAATTGTTTTAAAGCTGAACAAGTAGGTTAACCTTACCAAAGATAATCTTGATTACAGAGGCTTCAGTGGAGAACTTTTAACCTCGAATTGTTAATTAAATGAGGAGGCCATGAGATAGAGGTAGCCACAGTCATCCACAACAGCAAACCAAAATTTAAGCCTACAAATTCCGCAAGGTTACAAAATCAAAATGCTAAGGACACCAAGCACAAACAGCCAACTAGGCTTTAAACTCTAGCCAGCCTATTACTTCCTTGCTTTATTTTGCCTTTTGTCTATCAAAGTCTCTTCTTTGAGCCCCTATTGGTAGAACACTCCTAATCACTACTGGTTTGGAGGGACCTGATTTCAATCAATTTTAACTCAAATAAACTCTTTAAAAATTTTAACGTCTCAGTTTAACAAAATCAATCTTTACATTAAGATACTGAGTTGAGATTCATTCCAAATGTCCTGCTTTAAAAAACAAACAAAAAGTCAGGAAGAGAAAGGAAAGAAAGAAGAAAAGAAAGAAAATGAGAAGAGGAGGAATGTGTATAGGAGAGGTGTGTCTGCTGCATTCACCGTAACTTGCAGGACTCTTCAGAAGTCAGCCTGAGGCACTAGGATTAGTTCAAAAGGAAACTAACATCAAGCATCCAAGTTTGGAAAGCACCCTCCCACTGCCCCCCAAGGCAATTGTTAACTAAGACCAGTTCCTTAAGACTCCTCTGAAATATTTTAAACCACTTATCTTTCTCCAAACGCTTATTACTAAAAAAGCAAAACCCTTAGCTCTTTAACAGGGGTAGCATTCAAACAGGCTGAGATAAAATCATTCCCTTAAATTTATCTTTGAAGTGGAAATGTGATCATATGCAAAGCACCAAAGGAATAACCACCATTTCAATTGCCTTCTCAGATGACAGGCTTATAATCAAATGCATGAATTATAACGTGATCTCTTAGGTTAGGATTACCCTTTCCATCATGCTTTGAGAAAGAAAAAATCACTATCACTTAAAAGTGGCACCTAATTTCTGTCAGTGGAAATTCCAGGTTCTTTGGTGTTGGCCCTTGTGAACAAGGCCAAACAGGGAAGACATAATACTATCCTCTTGAACTTGAATACCACCACTAAAGTTTGCTGAAATAAATTTACAAAGTTATGGGGAAAGTCGTGGCCTACCATGCCCAAAGCAACAATCTACCATCCTTCTAATTTTATTTGATGCCATTTTTATATTTAGGAATATTCTATCATTAGATTTTTAAAGGTACACAGGCCAGAAGAATATCATTATATTACCATAATAAAATCAGTCACCCTGTCACAGATTCCCCTGGTTTCAGTTCCTGTTTTTTTTTTTTTAGTGATTTATTAGCTGTTTTCCCTTTGAATAGAGGAAGGCAAGGACCCTGTAGCCTCAGGGACACCGAGGTTGACATGTGGTTGGCAATTAAAAATATTTGTAGAAAGAGTATTTATGTAGTTTTTATCATATATTTATTATAATATTATATCCTTGTGTTTGATATCCCCCAAACTTAGCCTGTTACACTATTAGTAAAAATACATCATACATATAACCTTTATTTTAAACAGAAGACAACAGAAAAAGTTCACTTTAAATAATCAGGTATTCCATATGTTCAAGTGAATATGTTTTATTAAATGCATACTAATATCTTTCTATAGTGAGTATACATAATAAGTTAAAATGTATATATTTATTAAATATAGATATAATACCAGAACATGATTATTTCAGATGAGAAATCAAAATAAACCCATTTTTAAGTATCTTTTGGTCACTCCAAATTGATATTGCTCATAAAAAAATACACTGATTTTTCCCTGGGGAAAAAAATTAATTCCATAGCAATGTAGTTAAGGGACATGTTTTATTTCATAGCTTTCTGCAAGCAAAACTGCTTTGATACAAAATGAGTTCAATGATACAGGTGCTACTGCCCACTCAAGCAAAAGAAAGCCTCACATTTATATGAATGCACTTTATAATTATATTCTTACAGTATAATAGGTCTAATGTCCAGGACATCTCTGGCCTCATGTGAAACAATGGCACAGAAATGCTGCAAGGTTTTCGAATATCGTAGCACTAGCAAGTGCTTAAAGTAACTTCCTGTGAGTTCTCTGCCTGATACTGCTTAAAGAACTATGTGTGGATGCATTTGTCTTTCTGCCCTTCATCATCTTTCGGTTTACATTAAAATCATCTTGAACTATATCCTTGTGTATGTCTATAGGCATTTCAGAGTTTCCACAAAAGCAAGAAAATGTCATGAGGTATCCTTAACGTTAGCTACTCATGTAGTGCTGTGGCTGTCAGAGAGGATGTGACTTACCTGTAGGTACAGGAATTGATTTTAGTGTTTGCTCCACACATTACAGTGCAGAAATGTTAGTGCATGTTAAACTCTATCTTCCCCCTCACATATGATGTGACTTTGACCCCAGAATATCTGACAAAAAAATTATACAGATAAAATAAAAAGACAAATACACAAATAAGGCCATCTGCAGAATTTTAAACTCACTTCTTGCAATATTTCACAATAATTTCTACATATTTTACATCTTTCAAACTTAAATAATAAATGCTCAAGGAAGGGCCTTGTTGGAGCCAATTGCACTATCTCTTTGAGGATTTGTCCAATTTGCTGGCAGGAGATTTCCTCTGGGGTGTGGGGATTTTGGAAGGCTTGGCTGTGGATGGCCGAGAACCTGCTCGGGGCGTAGGTCTGTGTGTTTGAGGGACAGTCTCCACGTCTGAGCACACGGACTGGATTTCTGAAATGTCAAAGTCTGATGCATCACTGCCTCGGCGGCTGCTGGCCCTGCTGCCAGCCTTGCTTCCGGCTCGGCTTCCTGGTCGGCTGGGAGTCTTCTTGGGATCTGTGGAGAAAGGGCAGAGATGGTTCACCTTTATTACTGGATCCATCTGCAACAGACTCTTGAAACCTAATGCTGCCTTTAATCTCAATGGTTTTCCTTGACACCTAGTAGGTGTCTTGACACTCAGAATATACTGTGGATTCATGGCCTTTCTCCATTGCAAAAGTGTAGGCATCCTCATTCTAAGTAGATATAATATACGAAAAGCTAGATTGGCAAACAAAAGGTAGGTTTTGGCTTACTCAACTTAAAAAACAGGATTCCATTTACTACAAACAGATACACAAAATATACCTATAATTTGAGACTACGATTTCCAAAGTTTAGTGTGTATACCCAGATGCACAGAGTGCAAACATGGAGCAAACTCTCAGGTGTCAGTTTGGCCAGAGGATAAGTAATTCAAAGCACATAGGAATTTAAAAGGCTTGGAACTTTAAAGAAGCTTCATGCTTGCTGAGCCCAGAAACCCAGGGATTAGCTCACTATTCTGTGAAGAAACCTGAGAAGCACCGCTATAAGGCCTATTGTGGCTGGGTTTCTCCAACAACCCCAAATAGAACCCAGTATAATTTCCAAGTAGATGAAAGAATCAAGACTTTCCAGGCAGAAGGGGTAGGAAACTGTTGCAGGTTTTCTTCTGTTCTACAATCATTCTCTCAACTTTCTTTGGTACTTTCCAGAAGGGATTCTCTGGTCGCTTACTCTCATGACTCATTTATCCCCTACCTTTGTTGGGGGACTGGGGCTGCATGTCATTCTGAAAGAATACAGTATCATCAATTCATAATTTCTTCCCCAATTAGGAAGAAAGGGGACTTTAATCTTCAGAGCATACTACAAACACCATTAAAGAAAGAAATGTACCACACTCACCAGCAAACTGTGTTCGGACTCTTGCGGCCGCAGTTGTTATCAAGCCACTGTCTTCTCCAGAGTGGAAGCCCTTCCCTGATAAATATCCTGGAAGTCGAAGCTTGCTTCCTTGTATTGGTGTTCCCTGTATTTAATCAGTGAAAGGACATTTCAAGATATTGCTCCTGTCCCAAGATATTTCTCTGACACCACTTTACAGATGGGTGGAAACCCTTTACTAGACCTCTCTAGAAGGCGGAGGAGGAGAAACTTTTCAATTAAATGAGGCCTGGGGTTCTCACTTGCTTATCTCCACTAATTTCCTATTCTCTCCCTGAATTCAAAGGGAACCTTTTAAAGAAAATTAATTCACATTGAAGAGAAAACACAGAAATGGAGATCCCCAAATGAGGCAAGAACAAAAAAAAAAGACAAATTAAGCTGTGAGTACTTTAGTATCTTCCAGACTGTCAGTGAATATCACAGAGTTAAGAGAATAATGGTAAAAAGATGGTGTCTGCATGGTACAGAGAGAAGATGGGGTTCTGAAAAATTGTGCTTGGATATTCTGCTGCCAATACTTTTAGGAAACTAAGCAGAAATAAATAGAAATAGAACAATAAATAAATAAGTGAAGCCTAGACAGCCATCATTTAAACAAACTTAACTGCAAAAAAAAAAAAGATGTTTTGTAACTTGGCGTAACACCACTTTATTTCTTGGTTCTATCTATCACCTTCTATGGTCTTTACATACAAGATACCTAGGCTACATTTTGGGGTGATTCTTCTAAAATTCTTACAGGAGTGGATAGAGACATTAAAAAAATTAATTGTTTTGTTATTAAATAGTTTTAAATGTTTAATAAAGCATATATAAGACCTTTTGATATATCAGGACTGCAAAATTTTAATATTAATATAATATTCCTAATTCATTTACATATGTATCTATCATATATTTAAGTATAAAATTCACATATGATTTGTATACATGTTAATACTTAAGTTTTCCAATTTCACATATATAATCGCAATTAATCATCTCAATCCTCCCACTTATTCACAAATGTGAAAAATGAGGGCCTGAGGAGGAAAGAGATTTATTTGCCCAAGATCTGACAACTCTGATCTAGTTAAATTCCTAAGAATCTCAACAATCCATGAGAGAGTGAGGACCCACAATTATGAAATATATCACTCAAGGTGGCAGAATTCATTACCATGAAAAACCCAAATCGTTCTTCTCAGACCACCTGGGTTATTTTGATTTTATTGTCACAAACCCTACCTAACAGTCTTAAAGACCCTTCTATAAAGGTATATTGTTGCTGTGTTTGGTTGGTTGGTTTATGTCTGATGAGGCTATTTGAAATGAAACATAGTCTTCTATTAGTCAAAATGGCATACTTAGACTTTAATTTTGGAGACACTCTACTTTTTAAAAAATCTGAACTAACATAGTAGCATGGCCCTAAATATTTAAAACAAACACGTTGCGTGAGGTTCCTTAAACTGTTCTCAGTTTTTGCTACAACAGATCCACCATAAATGACAGACATCTCTAGATGTAATATATAAATAACATTAGCGTTTCCCACCTGAGGGAAGGGGTGGAAATGAGAGGCTGGGGGAATGAGGAAGAGTTGAAGAATGAGTTATTTCTGCCCTAATTCTACCCCTATCATCAAGGTTATTTCCATTGTTTCCATCTGAGACAATTTTCTCTGTTTACCTCTTATTATTGATGTGAGGATTAAATAATAGATAAGTGTTTTGAAAAGCATTAAAGGGCTTTCTAAAGGCACGATATGACTTTTATACCTGGATCCTGGCTTTTAACATGAAATATCTCCTTCGATTCAAGAGAAGTTATTTGGGAATCTCACTCCCCTCTCCCCCCAATTATTGTGATTCTTTCTAATCAAATATGTGATTATTTATTGCCTATGTTTGTCATTTTACAGAAAAGTTCCTTTAAAAATTATATGGTTGACTTTAAATGAATGTAAATGATCCAATACACAGGTTAATCTTGGCCAATTTTATATCCCTTAAATATCTTATCCCCAAATACCATGCCATATTAAAAAGCTAGAGCTTGCTTGACTAATAATAATCATTAAAGACTAATAATTTTGAAAATGACAGGTAACTTTTTGCATACCTAAACCCCCAACACCCTGCTCTGATGGCTAAAAGGCTTGATTCATGCCCATCCAGTGTTCTCGGGCAGAAATAAATGTAACAGACATTCGGAAGGACCTTTATAGTGAACACCCAATAAACGTTCTTTTAGTTAAGTGATTCTCTTGCAAATGATACTGTCTCTCATTCTCATCTAAAGGAGGTTGGTTGCATTTCTTGCCCAAATTACGCATGACCTTAGGTCAGCTATAAATCAGCTATAAAAGAAACTTTACTTAAGATTGAACATAATCTCCTGTATTTCGCTCTCCCAAGAGAGAAAAGTAAAATTAAGTACAAGTAGAAGAACAAAAAACAAAAACAAAAACAAAGTAGATACAATGCCTACAGGTATTACTATGTTAAGCTGACACTGTTCAAGAAGCTAAAACTAATACTGCCTTTTCTGGTGAACCCCGTATTCTCATGTCTTCCAAGAACTGTTGGGTTGATTACTTATTTTACAGAAGTCCATAAAAAGATATAGCATTATCAAAAAATACGTTAAGGAAGAAGTAAAGCAATGTTAGTAGCTGATAGTTTCAGTTAAAGACTGTTAGACTAGAATCTGGGACCTTACGATACCTCTGCAGATGGCACGGAAAAGTCTGAGCACTCTGCTGGTTTACAAGGAGTTGACATTTTGCTGTTTGTCAACCATGGTTTACCATAATTGCGTGTTAAAGGATGGAGAATCTGTATGGAACAATGGCAAATCAAATGTAAAAGATAGCAGATAAAAAAAACAAAGCCACAGAAAGAGATATTCATAGCAAAGAGTCACATTTCACAGTAAGAATGATAACAATTAAAAATAAGTGAAAAGATTTGATGGCCTATCATACACACCAACAACGATGAAGTTTTAAAAAAAAAAAAACCAATCTGAAAGGTAACCAAAGCACCTAAATAAATATTCTCTATGTGGGCCATAGGCAAAAGCATATACTGAAAAAAACAAAACAAAACAAAAATATCCTTCATTTGCCTTATTGCGAGAAGGGACATAAATGGAGAAATCTGGTCCTACAAATGCTAGGGTCCTAAAACATTCCAAAGTATTCTCAAGACACTGATTTGTATAGAAGGAGGAAAATGTTTCATGCCCGGGTCCTACCTTGGGTGTGCTGGTGGCAGGGGCCTGTGGGGAGGCCACCTGGCCGGCCTGACTGGACAAGGAAGTTGATCGGTTGGGTGAAGCTCCTCGAGACGAAGGCCGCGATCTTCGGCCCCGGGGTCGGAAAGCAGCCATACCCTGACTGGCACCATCTGCTAAAATGAACTTCTCCCGAAGTTCCATGTTTGTCCTTCCTTTAGCTGGATTGCGTAACACACAACAGTGCACACAAACAAAAGAGGAAGGAAAAAAAAAAGGGGTGCTCAATCGTTTATGTGAAGAATAACCACCTGGCACCACAGATTATGCTGAGGAATTCAAGAACATCTTTTTGCCATGCCAACTCCAACTCAGCATAACAAAAAGGTAAATAAATGCATTCTTTTACAATGCATTCCTTTTGGATACAAGTAAGTTTGGGAAAGAAAAAAAAATTGTGTTTATTCTAACACTAGACACCAGCCAGAATAACCACTATTAAAGAAAGAGTCAGCATGAAAATGGAAAGCTCATGCTAAAATATTATTAATCCACCAGCTACTGATGTCTGCATGGGTTCAGTACCCTTTCTCCACATTGAGAAGACAAGCCAGTAAAGCAGGGACTGTGTCTTTTGCATGTACTACTACTGAGGTAGGGAGAATGCCAGTATTTTAACATTGGGATTAATTAAACAATATAATTACACAGAATGAGAGATGACCTTATTAATCGTCATGACAACATACAAACTTTCAGGTTTTTCACTTCAGTGAGGCAGGTAGTATTTTTATGTTATGCCTTGAAAAACTCTGTTTTACCAACATGCAATAACAAACACCAGACCCAAGGATCCGTGAGGTAACCAATGATGCAACACTCATACAAACACATGTGCACATGGAGAACACTCCACAGGAACCCGACGGGCAACGTGTTAGCATGTGTTTGATCACTTCCATAACACCTACACTTACGACACACCGCAAGTGTGTGAAATTTTCAGAATTTAAATTTGGAAGCACCAGTTCAGTTGGATATGAGTTAAGCCATACGCAATGGATGAAGCGTGTTAATTTAAAACAAATAATTAAAGCAAGAATGTAAAAGTAGGAAAGAGAGAAGGTAAGAGAGGAGAGGCAAAGTGAGGGGTTGCCAACCTATAGTAGGCTGAGTAGTAGTAATTGAAGAGTTTGATTCCGAACGTAACATTTTACTCCCATGATGATGAACTAGAAAAAATGACACAGGATACCAATCACATTAAAGAATACTGTTAGCAGGAGAAGAAACAAAGTACAGTAGTTGAATATGCAAAGGGTGCTCAGATCTGGCCTTTAGCATACAATTTAGAAGAAAAGTTACATCAGGAAAAGCACTCATAGGTTTGACTCAATAAGAAAAATGTATTTGGAAGACTGCCACAGTCATGCTAACTTTTCTAAGCGACCCAACAAACACTACATGTTCTAACTTCTTTGTTTCATAAACAGAGCTATATTACCTTAAGCTGCATTACTTTCAAAACATAAAACAAAAAGAGAGCTTTCATTATTTTATTCCTGTTGCAGTAATATCTTTGACTTGCCAAGAGCAGAGCTCCTGAGTAGGGTCATGTAACAACCATGGTGGCCTTAGCAGAGAGGCCAACTGATTGCATAGGAACTGTCAGACACACCTTTGTGTTTAGGTGCCAGCTCTGCAACAAAGAGGCTCACTGGAGGAACCCCGACCTCCCACTTGGTAGTCTAACAGTGCTGGCACAAGTATTTGTTGTTGTTTGTTTAAAAGGATTATGAAAATCATAAAAATCAAATCTTATTTTTGTTTGTTTTTTAAGAAAAGTGGGTCTACCGAGTAAATGGGAGCTGGCTAGAAATTGTAATCAAATGACCACTGGTAAGGTAAATCAATTAATTTAAAAATTGACGATAGGATCTGAAAAAAAAAAAAAATTAAAAGCTAACCCAGGGTCTCTTAGGCTGGGAGATATGTCAAGAGCTATAGTATTATATGTTTATGTTTTTAATGCTCTAATTTGCAACTTCAAAATAAGAGCCAAGTTAGCAGTTATCCTTTTTTTTTAATTTTGAAGTATTGATTTCCTCATCTCCCCCTAATTTTAAAAAAACTTTCACTATCCAGTATATCCTCAGTCTTTAACACTTCAATTTTCATTCCTTTTACTTTGCTATTTAATGACAGATGAAATCCTTTCCCCAGTTGTTATAACTGCTCATTGTGAAAACTGCAAACGGGAGCATCTCAAAAGAAAATCTATTCCAGTATTCCCTGCCCACCGGTCTCATGTTTATCCAAAAGAAGTAAAAAAAAATGACGAGAATAGCATGGTTTACATGACTGCCACGAGTTCTTTGGGAACTTTAGGCTGACAGACCAATGTGAAACATTCACTGCTGTAATAAATGACCAAAATCATACCCAAGAATGTTTTTGGTGCTGGAAAATAACATGAAATTGATATACTTTCATGGTGTTATTATCTTGACATAAGTACTTCCTTACCCCTGCAAGGATCATTTTTCACTAAGAACTCGTCAAGTGCCATCCATCCACCTCCAACACGAACCATCACAGTACTTCGCAGGATTCGAACAAGTCGCAGTTGCTGGGAGTCTCCAAACTGTGAAGGTGAAGAAAGAAGAACCTCTAATTGTCAATAGTAATTCTAAACTAAAGGATGATGTGTAATCTGTAGTAGCTTAAGCAACCGACTTTGACTTTTTGCTTAGTTCACAGCGATTAGTAAAATCTCAGGAAAAGGGGTTTGTAATGATCTGCGTTAGACTGCTGCATGCTGATTGAGACCAAAGGAAATAGTTTGAAAAAGGATAACAAAGGTTATCGAGTATAATATTAAAGATTTTTTCTAAAAATGATTTTTCTTTCTTCTGACAGATACAACATTAGTAAGGCAGTGATTAAAAAATGTTTCTAGAAATTAAACACAGCCATGAGAATAAGCACGGGCCCACTTGCCCGGGATTTATACAAAATAAGATGACTCTAAAGAAAAGTTAATAAAGTCTGATTCTTCTTCATTAAGACTTCCTCTTCCACTAAAACTGTTTGCCACTGAATTTGTGAGAGAAATATTCATAAACTCATTCTGTTTTCTCTGAGAGCAGTTTCAACTTAGGGAATATAAAGTAGTAAATAAACGTGACCAATAAAAATTTCACAAATAAAATTTCTGCATCACTAATGATCTGGTAAACCAACTTGTTCAAGATTAATGTGCCATTTTAGATTACTGTAATATTAGGACATTCACAGACATTATTAATGATACAGCTTTCAAATCTAAAAGGCTTTCTCTTCAAGCTGTTTGTACCATAACCGCTGGCACTAATAAGCAATTGTCTTATTTTTGCCCTTTCAATGGCTCTCCAATCACTTGGATATGCTATAAATTCTGCAAGTCCTGAAAAAAATATCTAGACTACAGGTAGTTTCTGATGATAAGGTTTATTTGTTTTGAAAGCCCATGAGAAACAATTTTATACTTTTAAATCATTTCTAATAGGCTCATGTCCAACTTATAAAACACACCATACTGAATTTCACGGTTGTCAACCTAACAGATACCGTAGCAAAATAAACAGTCAATTAAACCTAATTGGCTTCTTTTTTAAGGCAGGTAAAATACATTTGTGATTTTGACTATTTGTCTGGGCTCATGACAGATAAATAGAAAACTTTAAAACTGCTACCTTTCGGTAAGCTTTACCACTGTTTCAGGAAACAAACCCTGAAACAAAGACGACCATTCAAGACCCTGAAACTCAGAAGGACCTATAAAGCATGTAAAGTGCACCAGCAGGAACTCATGCATTTTACATCAAACATTTTTATATTGTTATTTCTAAGTCCCTTTTTAAGCCTTGAGATTTAAACTTTCCTATATTGAACCTGTTCCTGAAATGTAATCAAAATGCAAAAATCGAAATATATCTTTATTTTGTTAGAAAAAATTTGGTGCTGCTAATAAGCAAAGGGAAAAGAGGGGATTTAAAGAAAATTACCCTTAAGGAACCAGATAATTAGAACAGACACTTTTGGTCCAAGATTACGTTCAAAACAAAAGTTTTAAGAAACTAACTACTTTGTAGAGATGAAATTTCAATTCTAATAAACATAAATGATTTAAAATTTTATTTTGAGAGGATATTCTCTAGACAACTAACGCTGTCTTCAGAATTTCCCTAATTTTCCCAAGAGCCAAATTGTGAGACAAGAAAAAATTAGACTGATGTTGTTCTTTGTGTTTGTAGTGAAGAAGGCCTTTTGAAGTGAGTATTATACCCTCTCTACAAATTAAAGATGCCTTCTCAATTGCTGACTCGGAAAATAATAAGGATGGAAAAGTAAATTTTTATGGATCATAACGGATGAAAGAGTTAAAAACAACTATTCAAAGTAACTGAAAATTTCTATTTGAAAAAAATTGTTTGCTTGCAATAAATGTGGATCATAGATAATTTGAAGCTTAACATGTAATACAGGCTTAAAAAGTGAGTGGCAGAGTAATAGCTAATATGATATGGTCAGGTAATATAAATAGCATGGTTCTTTCCAAAAGTATACAGTAAAAAAATCAAAAACAAAAACAAAAAAAAGCTCTTCTTGTTTAAATCAAAACATGATCTCTTGTTGTTAGTTATAAAATTTTGATCATGGTGCAGTGCCACTGAATAGTTTATATTGACTTAAATGTGAGGTCAAAATGGAATAGTGTGACGTCAAGATGTAAGTTACAAGAGATACATTTCTTCAAGGAATAACCATTCAAAACCTCCAGGGTTAAAATTTCTACTGAGAGGATGCAATGCCCTAAGTCAATGATTTAGAACAAAGAGACAATAGCTGCTTTGGAGAGAACACACTTCTGTGGCTGAGTGCCATTGAGATCTCTGACTACCCTGTCTTTCTGTGTCACTGCCTGATGCTGATCCTTCTCTAGCTACCGTATACTACGCATTCTCAATGGTTAAACACTTTTGAGGCTATGTAGAAATGTGGGTTCCAATGAGTACTTTCACAAAATATATGCTAATAGTATTATCAAAAATGGGAACTGAAAATTGCATTTGTAACACGGTAACCAGCCAAGCTAAAATTCATTATCTGGTTTGCTTAAAAGTAATCTCCTCATTTGAGACACAAGGCAAAAAGGAATCCTAGACCAAGGACCCTTATAGCGTTTACAGAAACACCACGCCAACCAACAATGTAGTAGCTAGGGGGGCAGCATGGGAAAGATTGGCCATGGCAAGCTTTAATGGCTATGAATTAAAGTTAAAAAAAAAAATCATCAGGAACTTGAGAATACATTCCACTGATTTATACCTGATTTCCCAGGAAGAACTGATAAAAAATAAAAATAAAAAATGGAAGAAAGATATAATTAGTTCAACAGGAAACTTTCCATATGGCTCTAGAACACACACACACACACACACACACACACACACACACACACTCACACTCACACTCACACTCCAGGCTCCCAGATATAGTATCTAGTTGAGAGATGTGCAGGTATCCAATTATCCCAACCTCAAACCCAAGAGTCACAAAATTTTCCACACAAATTTTCTGAAAATCTTTGGGTTTCAAATTTAAGTTAAAAATTCAAATACTTAGATCAATATTTTTCAGCATGGAAGTATAAAAAGTAAGAATAAATACTGTTTCATTTGGAAGTAATATTAGGGAAACTCAGCACATTTCCTATCTAGCTACTACATATAAGAGATTTTCCAAAAAAAAAAAAAAAAAGAGGAAGAGTGACAAAGTCACATTGGTCTTCAAGTAATTGTTTTGAAGAAGGTGAACCGAGTTATTGAGATTCTGAATAAGAGAAAAAAAAATCACTGCACAAGTGGAAAACATTGCCTCTTTTTCATATTTATAAAAATGAGTCAACATTTTTAACTTCATGGTAGTGGCTTGGAAGAGCATTGTTATTGAAAATATGAAAACTTACCTCTAATGATAATAAAATATAGCCCAAAGCAATATGAAGAAATTTACATATGTGAGAGGTATTTTTCTGTGAATAATTTTTTCCTTAAAAGTAATATACATGTTGTACATGACAAAGATATGTCCTCATATACAAAATACAGGCTATTTCTATATAACTTAAAATGGTAAGAATTAGAAATTTATATACCATTAAATTTTGAAATAAAGTAAAAATAAATAACTCTTGGAAAATGATGCAGATCAAGTTATATAGAAATTTCAATTTTTATCCTTTAAAAGAACTATGAGGTTATTTTGAAAACTTACCCTGTATTTGTTATCTCCAATTTGTTCAACTTGAAATCGTTTTGCACATTTACACTTAGCTACCTGTCTTGTCACCTGCCAAAAACAATGGTGAAGTATCCACTTTAATATTAGCATTACACACTGAATCCTTAAAATCTTGACACAACTACTGAACATGGAAATAAATAAAATGGCTGCACGAAGTGTGCAGAATACACTACACTATTACTGTTGCAAGCAATGGAAAGATAGTGAGTACCTCATCTTCGATTTTGTCAGCATCAGTGATAGGTTTATATGCATCTTTATTTGGGTGAAGGGCGGCTACAAATTCATAGTAGTCAATATACCCATCGCCGTCTCTGTCAAAGATGTCTGCAACAGCGCTCATCTCTAGGCGACTGGTTGGGAACTCTAAAATTTTCAAAACAATAGTAAGTAGCATTACTGAGGCATAATTGACAAATAAAATTGTAATATATTTAAAGTACACATTGTAATGATTTGATATATGTATACACTGGAGAAAGATTCCTCCCATTTAGTTAACACATCAATCACCTCACATACTAATATACATATATATATTTTTTTGGTGAGAACACTTAAGTTTCCACTCTCTTAGCACATTTCAATTATACAATAGAGTGTACTCAGCTATAGTCTAAAGTTATACATTAGATCCTCCAACCTTATTCATCATATAGGTGAAAGTTTGTACCTCTTTTACCAGCCCTGATGTATTCCCCCACCACCAGACTTGGTAACCACTTTTATATTCTGTTTCTTTGAGTCTGACTTTTTATTTAGATTCCACATATATGTGGTAATTAAGACATTCTCTGAATAAGCCATAAAATATTCCCAATGAAAGTTAATAAGACCTGCTACTTATGATAAAATTTTACAAAAAGATTTGTCTTTACAAAAATGAAAGTGTCCTAACTTGTTAATTCTGCCTCAAGACATTCTCTCTCTATTGTTCATTTTAATCTTAATGTGGCTGTTTGAATTATCAAGGTCATCAAATATATTAAAATCCTTTTTAAAAAACTGATTTACATAATAACAAATTAAACCACTCTCTATGTGACCTAAATTTATCTTTCATTATTACTGGGATTAATCATTTGAAATTGCTGTTTTTCTAGGTTGAAAACTGTTAAATATTAGTAAATTTCATATGGTTCAACTATCACTTTACATAAGGAATAATTTCTATAAAATTTAAGAATCATTTCCAATAACATGTGCCAGAGATATCACATACACATGACTGAACCATCAAAGAAGACGACGACACATACCTTCAGAAGTTTATATTATAGAGTTCCAATTTCCTACTAATGACAATGTTAGATCAGAATGTGAATTAGAATGAATAAGAAAGAGACTGACTTGCATTTATTATTTCCCATTATATGCTAGGTGACACGGACAATCCAAGTGTTATTAACTTTATTATACTAACGAGGGCATAGCTTCAGTAATGTGAAGGAATCTATCTGTGGTTACACAATTAGTTAAGTTTGCCTGACTCCAAATCCATAAGTTTTACCACGGGCACTTTTTTCTGGTGACTTCACAGTCGAGTTTAAAGGTCATGCTTTATTGGTCACACAAGTTTACTGGCCCCACAATTTTAAACTGTGCTTATTTTTTTAAAAAAAAATACATCAGTTTCAGTCACTTCTCTTGGGACTTACTTGAGGAAAGAATTCCATCAATAAATTCTTGTCGGGTTATTTTCCCATCCTGATCTTTATCGATTCTCCTGAAGAAGTCCATCACCCGAGATTTCTTGTGATTCATCCATCGCATGTATTTTTTGCGCCAGATATCAAAATCGAAATTAGCAAATTCCCTCAGCTGAAAAGGGCAAAAGGCATTTTGGCTGAGTTAACATCGTGCTCAAATTATATCTTATACTATATGAATAGTGTTATTTTTAATGAGCCTCTAGATAATACACATATCTTTCCCACTTCAAGTAAATGTATCATCTTGCAAAGGGGACTTTTCACTGGCGAGTTCATTTCATCACTGTCACTGTTTTTCTTTACAAATAGAGGAAGCAAATAAAACTCCTCAAAAAGTCAAATAGAAAACTTCTAATAGTGCCAAAGTCACAAAGGTGGTGTGCATGCCCTAATGTAGCACATTGGTAAGTTCTCCTCCCATGGGGTAGCAGGCCCAGCTCAACAGTACTTATGTAACCCCTCACTCTCTCTGCTCTTTGCCACTCTAACTCCCCTAGACTTCTAAAAATTTCCCAATTTCAGAATCTGAAACTCTAAATTTCGGATCATAGAATATACATAATAGAAACTTGTCCAAGGTGTCATTTCCAAGTTGGGAAGTGGTGGAGACAGCCAAGGAGTCTGCCTCCAGAGTTCTTAACCGCTTTGTTACCTTGCCTCCTTGTGCAACATATTTACTACGATAGGTCTGAAAATTCTAAATGGTTCTATTTGCCAGTTAATACCACCAAGCAAAACATATGTCGAGCTACATCTTTTCTTAAATCGGCTTCCAATTATGTTAAAACATATTAGTTTTCTACTTCATTGAGCCCCTAAATCTAAGTCCTGTATATCAGAGTTTTCCCTCCTATAAAAATGTACATACTTGTGGTATTAATTTTAGAAGTAAATATACACTCAAATAGCAAGAGTTGGCTTATCTAATTCTTGTTGAAAAAAAATATCAAGATTTTTATGTGTTATGCTGAATGACAATACGGTGTTAAATACACATATATATGAGTTTTCTAACCTCTTCTAGTCTGTCCAAGGCGTCATTAAGCTTCCTCCTTCTTTCCAATGCAAGGAGCCAGACTTGCTGCCATTTGCTCACTAATAAGTTGACCCTGGGATTCTTGGTTTCGATTTGTGTCTGTGATCCAGAGGGATATAAGCTTGATGCCGGAAAGCGTTTTCCTGTTAAAATATAACTTTAGTTAGGGTGGCAGTTTCCAGGGTTCTGAAATAATGTAAGGCTTGGCCCTTTCTGTTCCTAGCTAAGACTGAATCAATTTAATTACCAGGTATTACAAATAGAAGTATCCTATTTAGATGATACATAATGTCAAGGTACGAATCTGTTTCACTTATTAAGGGTCACATACTCTCTATATAAATTGAAGAAATATATCTTGACAGGTGTTTACATACTGGAAAGCTCTCTCAACAAATTTATGCTTAAATCAGTTTCCAGCTCAAAATCTATGCCACATCCATGACAATTAAGTACAATGTGCTCCTCCTCTTTGTTAAGGCATGGTAAAAGAAATCTCCCAGGGCACTTACATGTAGCTTAGAATCTGTTATATAAACCTAGCTGCCCTTCTTAGAAAATATAGCTGAAAGCAGGGCAGGTGAGGGCAAGAGGCACTGAGCATTCATTAGAGTCAGAGCAGGACACTTTACAATCCCAACCAAATATGGTACGTGCACAGGATCCCAGCTTTCATCCAAGTCCACTTTCCACTGAGGTTGTGTGTTTCCTGTGTATACTCATATCCCAAATTACTGCCTTATTAAAGTTTTCTCCTTCTTTCTATTTTTCGAGAGTTTCTATAACTTTACAGAACAATTATCTCAACACAATCTTCTCACCAAACTAGCTAAATGTGGCCTAGAAAAATCACTGACCTAAGGTCTTATATGAAGTTGATGTTCAAGCTAGGATTTACCCAGAATTCCTAACTCCCATAGGACTTTACATATATAAAAATATCAATAGCTAACACTTATTAGGAATTTAACTAGATGCCAGCAAATATGCTAAGCACGTCATACACATCAGCTCACTTAATCCTTGCCACAGCCCAATGAGGTTACAGTTATCTCCTTTTACAGATGAGGAAACTGAGGCTCAGAGAGAGAGTTTAAGTAACTTGTCCAAGGTGTCATTTCCAAGTTGGGAAGTGGTGGAGACAGCCAAGGAGTCTGCCTCCAGAGTTCTTAACCGCTTTGTTACCTTGCCTCCTTGTGCAACATATTTACTACGATAGGTCTGAAACCATTTTTTTTAAGGCACCATGCAGAAATATACAAAATGATATAAATTGTGCTTCTTTTGCATCTTCTCCAAGCTAGCTACCATTGTTTTTAATTATCACTTCATTGAATCAAGGTCGCTGAAGAGGTAAATAGAACATGGGCAAAATCTATCAGATTACTACTGGTCACTAATTAACAGCTAGGTCAAGAACTTTACCCAGGTCATGATCATTTCTGTTGCATTCCACTTTAAGGTTATTTATATTACAAAAGCAATATGAGATGATTCAAAGGGGTGTGTGAGTGTGTGAGTGTGAGTGTGTGTGTGTGTGTGTGTGTGTGTGTGAGATGATTTCTGTTCTTGTGGCAAATTTTTCAATTCCTTCCAGAGAATCTGAAAGATACAGTTCAAGCCAATAAAGTTCCATATAAACAACTGGATGTATCTTTTCTTTATTTTTAAATAAGTTGCTAGAAAACTTGAGCCCATGTATTCTTTCGAGAAAACCTTTTATGATGGAGAGTTCACGCAGAATTACCAATTGCTCTGAAATTTCAAACGACAAATCAAAATAAAAGAAAACCAACTTCCTTGCTTAACTATCTTCGTTTTAAAGAAACTGGCTTACTTCCTGCTCGCCCTTTATCCAAGACTGGAATATGGGACTGTAATGAGGAGGGATCAGCCGTTCTCCTCTTATAGGTCTTGGTAACTTTATCCACATCAGGTTGTTTTCTGGTCATTTCCTCCATGAAGGTCTAAAATGAAAGAAATGATATCAATTAAATACAGGTATACCAGAGAAAACCACCATTAGAAATGAACTAAAAACAAAAGGATAAAAGGACCATGCTATTGTTTCTGAAAAAAGAATAAACCATTGTGTTTTATTTTTAGGAGGGAAAAATGTCTAAATATCATAACATAGTGTTTACTCATTTCTAAAGAATACAAAAGATTAGAGCTGGTAAATAATTACAGCATCACCAAAGTAATTTGTTTTACTTTGAAGACCACACATGGGAGCAGCTGTCTGAACAACATAACCTTTCTGTGCGCCAACCAGGATCAAGCATCCAAGCTCTTCCAGGAGGATCTTGAAATGAGCATTTGTCTACAAAGGAACTAGTTAACTGGGGTGGTCCCTAGGACTTTTCTGTGCCACATTTTACCTACGTATTTGAAATATTTAAGGTGGCTTTGATATACAGTACAAAGAACACAGACATTAAATGTGGATATATTTTAAATATTTGTCAATGAATATGCTAAGCCAAGGAGGGTAAAAGTAATTCACGTTAAAGTTTATATTTAAAAGACTTGACTATCTTTTCATTTTTTATCTTATCTCCCGAGGCTTATTATTATTGTTGACTAGGTATCCCTATATCTGGAATATGTGGCAAAAGCAGAGACTGGTGAAAGCGATGAGGAAAGGAGGAGGCAAACAAAAGTGAAAAGTGAAGTAACACATTTCTGGAACATGAGTCACACTGGAGAACTCGGATCACTTTAATACCTCTGATCACAGACAACATGGCCTGAGACACTGCAGGGCCACTACGGACATTGATATCTTACACTTTTATTAAAATATAATATCACTGTTAACTGCTTTACCAACTATGTTGACACAATGTTTCCCTTTGTAAATGTATATTAAACTAAAAAGCAAACAAATAAATCAGAGTTAGTGTGATGCCCATCATTTCAGAGTTTAAAACAAGTAGGATATACAGGAGAAGTTTTTTTTTTTTTTTTTTTTTTTTTTTTAGCAAGACCACATAGATAAGTACTTGAAGTACTTACAGTCATCCTGGGAGATGTTTAGGGGCAGACAGCAGAAAATGCAAGCGTGGAGCAATAAAACAAGGGAGGGTGAGACTGCCAAAGAGAGCAGAATGAAAGGAGTAGAGAGCTGAGGACAGAAGTAAGGAGAGCTGCTATTTAGAAGGCAGGAGAAAGGGCGGGAGCCAATCTGAGACAGTGTCATGTGAATGTAACTTCACGGAGGCCAGAAAGGAAAGAGTTTTGGGAAGGTACCAGAATTAGAGGATAGACCATCAAAATTCAATAACTGTGAAGAGAACAGTTTTAAGGCAGAGGTAGAATTCGAAACCCATTTGGAAGGAGATGAGTATTTTTGAAGAAGTGAAGGTAATAAGCACAAAGCAATCTTATGAGAACTACAGCAGTGAAAGAAAGAAAACATCTGAGAAGACAGGGCTTGGGATGACATTTATTTTACCTGGTGTTCTGCAATGAGGGCTTTCACTTCTTCGATTTCCTGGGGGATGACTTCTTTATCCTTATCACTAAGTGTAGTTTCAGCCCACTGCAACCAAGCCAGCAAAGCTTCCAACAATTCCTGTTTAGCAATGAGCCCAGCCAGAGCACTCGCTAATCTCTGCTGATGTTGTTTCGCCCAGGCCAGTACCTATTGGAGAAATAGAAATTTCTTTGAATTTCTTCCACCCTGGTGAATAATTTAATTCATGTAAAATATACAAAATTTAAATGTAAATTAGGATCGTACTGGGCTAGACCCATAACACTTCTCATCTTTCTAGACCCAGCCTGTGGAGGACATGAGAGCCCTCTATGATGCTCATCACCTTCAGAGGTTTAGAGATGTATGTCAATCACCCAGGCTTCCTTTGCTCTCTAAAGTTCAAATACACATTCTCTGAAGGATCAAGTACACTTACTCCATGTAGCACAGAGTGGAAAGAAAAATAGCTAAAATCTTCAATATAGAATTAATTTACTTTGTGTATGCCATTCATTTCACAAGATATACTACCCTGAAATACTATTCAACTGCTTGATTATTCAATAGACGCAATGTGGAAGTGAGACAAAAATTTATACATATACCAAGCATTTTTGCCTTTTCATGTTTCAGGGACATGGATGCAAAATTCCCTTAACTTTTCAAGAAAAAGATGAGATGCACACAGGAAGATTATTTTAAAAGAACATTTTTTCTCTGCAGAAGCCTCATATTCCCATGGCCGTAAGTGCATCTTAACTGCTGAGGTTTCCATATCCCGATTCTCTGCTCTAAAGATGCTCTGAGACACACTGACCTCCTCAAACCTGGCCCGGATGATTGTTATCCAGTGCTTAATGGTGGTGATGGAGTCCGGGTGGCAGATGGCCAAAATAGCATCTCCCATACTGGTAGCTTTATTGAGTGCAGCTCGCTTTTCTTCCAGTTTCTTCATGAATTCCTACAGCAGAAACAAAGACTTCAATTAGCTGTTGGCACTGGCTGAAAACAATTTGACTATCAAGAGTTAAACAAATAAACGAGAACATCGACTGGTTTATCCACAGCTGAAAATAATCCACTAATTGAGAATTAAGGGAGAAGGGACAAAAATAGGAAATAAATTACTTTCTGATACATATTTTAAAATATAGGATAATGACTCATGCTTTACAAAATACATTTTAAAAACCCTCTTTCCTAAATTTGGATATATTATAATTACATTTCTAATGGAAAGTAGGATTAGGAGAGACAGTAATACCAGAAATAAAATTAATATCGATTGCAATCAAAATGAAACAAAACAAAAATCTCCTAACAAATAAGACAAGGAGGCTGGTATTTAAAATAGCATTAACTGTGTCAGGAAAGATATAAATATGTACAAAAAAATAAAGAAGTGCTAAGGAAGAGGGACGGCTGGGCAAAAAGTTATAAATGATTGGAGGTGTTGGAGAGAGGGCACAAGCGTCCAGGCAGGAAGGAGTGAGGGGGAGACCGGAGGGAGTGGGCCTGACAGTGGGCC